GGCCATGTAAGCGGCACTGATTATCCTTATTTTGTTATTTTAAGTTTGATGAATCCTAAGATCTTTTTGTCAGTGTGTCCATGCCAGTAATAGTAATATTTCTGTCCAGTATTTGTTTTCATGGCAACACCTCCAAAAGTCGTTTTAATAAATACAGCTATGTATGAATTCAGTTGCTTTCAGTTATGTATCAATTGAAGACACTATCCAGATCATACCAGCCAGTCAGCCACTGGTAAGGGCTGTATCCTTTTCTTACAGTGTTCAGTGAAAATATCGCAATGCATCGCAATATTTCAAGTATCGTGATGCATCGTGATAGAATCGCATTGTGGCATGTGAATCATGATTCGAATTGAATCGTGACTTCTTTGCCAATACCCATCCCTACCTGTGATATTAATCTATTACATTATTTAAACATTAAATTTACAATTAAAGTCGTAGGGAAGCGGTCATTCCAACCGTTGCATTTCCGAATTCTCTTGAGTGGTACCCACCTTTACACGGGTGAATAAAGTGAATGTTATTGGTCGTTTATCAAGGGGGCGGGATTGTTGTGGCGGAAGGTTCCCAAGCAAGTTTGATTGTGGCCGGTTTGTCTGAAGCATGTCGCTAACCAGTTAGCAACTTAGTGCTAGTAGGTTCCCAATGGGAAATTCCATTGGGACCAAGTAGCACTAAAGTGGTGACTTAGAAACGACGCTGTCAAGGAACGCTATGGACAGAGGAAACATGCAAGAGGAGGAGAGTTTAGTGTCGGAGGTCGTTGATGAGTCTCCTCCATCATCCATTTTTTATTTAGAAGACACAGACGTCCATCCCCGTCAACACTGGGACGGAACTCAATGAGAAAGGAAATTATTCTTTTTTCTTATTTCAACTGTTGCGTATATTAGCCGCCACATATGAATCAAGATGCTATGACTGAAAAAATTTGATTGACAGATGACCCCTGATATAGGATTGGCCGAATTTAGGTGTCCAGGCTGACGTATAACTAACTGGCCTGCATAAGATAATGAAAAAGAACACAGATTTTAAGACAGGATTTATTTTAAAATAGAAATTCTCAAAATTTTGGGACGATATGGTCTAAAAAAAGAGTACATTTATATACATGTTTAAACCAGAATGATTTGACATTTAAATATGACTTCCCTATGACTTTAAATTTGAAAATTCACATCAAGTAAATAAATAAACATCCAAATAAACAATCAAAATTAAACAATTAAATGTCAGTTAAAAATTTATTTTAAAAATAATATAATTACTTCATTCTATATCAATTCAATTCAGTTTCTTTATAAGCACCAATTCACAACACATCATCTCAAAGCACTTTATAGTTCACCAGATCATTCAGTCAGATTGACTCAAAGTTTTCTAAGGAAAACCAGTTGATTGTGTCAACACATTGACTCTACAGCAATCCCTCACACTAAGCATGCTTGTCTATGAATAAAGGGGTCCCCATTCTGTATCATTGTTAATTCTGGGGTCACAGGCGGACTTTTATGGGAAGCTCTGATCACTAGAAACAGTCTCTGAATTTTAGAAACTCAAACTTAGGAAAACAGTTTTTTCGTAGCTTTGCTTTTGAGGATTCCTTTAAGGAAAATATATGATAATGAAACTAGCTCTGTATTCATAAATCTATAGAAATGAGAGTGTGTGCCAAAGGCAGTTGTCATATCGTCATGGTTTGTGTGCGGCTGTGCGGGCTGAGCGCCATGTAGTCCTCTGGCAGCACGTCTATTCGTGGCAGCTAGTTTAAATTAGCACCGCACCGCAGCAGCAGCCAAACTCTGAGCACCGACCGCCGTGACCAAACCTGCAGCTGCAGCCCAAGCACACGGTCTCAAAGACCTCATGTTAGCATCTCAGTATGCCTCGCTGCCCTGGGATGAGAGGAATGACCTCCTGTGTTTACGCAGAATTAAAGTATATATCAGAAATAAAAGAACAACCCAAATGCTGAATGAAGCTGCTTTTCACATTTTTACTGCTTCCCCTTGGCTGCAGCTGTTGTGGTTACAAAATGAAATGCTTGAGAAAGTGGGGAAGTGGCTGGCGGTTCTCCAGCTGTATGCAGAAAAGAAAACTACACATATGTCCCTCCCCCACCTGTTGCTGACCAAAGCTTGAAAGCTGTCTGAAAGAAAGCTCTAACACTTCTTTCTGCTCTTGGAAGAGAGACAGCTATGGCTGCAAGGAAAATATTGTAAGTAGAATTTAAAATGTTAAAACCTCTGATGAAGCCGTTACATTCCTTACCAGTTGGTGGCAGTAATGTGCTTAATAGCTGATCACTAACTGCAATTAACTGAGGAGAAGGAGACCAAAATAGAGCTAATAATCTGATGATTTATCTGGTTTTGAAATGCTCTTTTCAACATAATCAGTTTGATTTCCTCTTCTCCTTTAAAGGCTGTATGCAAACAACTTTCAGCTGCACTACTACCACCTCCTGGTGAGGAGTGTAACTGCTTCATCACCATGGGCGGTTCTAGACAGGGGCCGATGGGGGCCAATGCCCCTCTAGATCATGTCCTGGGCCCTGTACCAAAGATATAATACTCTGATGAAATTCTGATGATGATATGTGCTTCAACAGACATGTTTACTGATTGGTCTGGGGGAAATGTCCGAGGGGAATTGATCGATTTCTGTAAATAAAATTCTAATTTCAAACTTTGAACCTGTGTGGTAAAACAGACTTATTTATTTTACTGATCTATTTTCAATACATATTTATACCACAAATAATAATAGCATACACTATTGGACGTTTTTTAAGGTTTACATATCCACAATGGGTTTATATGTCACACTAGATCCATTTCAGTTGATGACATCATAACTACTCATAAGTTCTAATGGGAAAAATTGACGGCCAGTGGGAGATCTAGTAGGATCAGAATTCTAGGCGTCCATTAAAACACTCTCGTAGCATTACGAGAATAAAGTGATAAAATTATGAGAATTAAGTCATAACATTACAAGAATAAAGTCACAATGGGAATAGTCATAAAATTACGAGAATAAATTCATAATATTAAGAGACTAAAGTCCTAAAATTACGAGAAACAAGTTGTATTTTATGACAACTATTACAAGAAGCACTTTCTTCCCTAAAATGAGGAATGTTGAGCATTATGTGAAGTTAAACTTTGGCGTTGGTTTGACAAATAAGGAAATCTTTTAGCACCAGCATCAAATATGGCAGGATGTCAAAGTGGACTCTGGTTGCTGATTGGTGGAGCTGGTCTGCCGTCATCTGCTGGTCGAATCTCGAAGCTTTCTTTCTGAAATGGGTTGTTGTATGATGACTTTTTATTCTTGTAATATAACGACTTTCTTCCTGTAATGTTATGACTTTATTCTTGTAATGTTGCAACTTTATTCTCGTAATATAACGATTTTATTCTCGTAATGTTACAGTTTTATTCTCTTAATATAACAATTTTATTCCCATAATGTTGCGACTTTATTCTTGTAATATAACGATTTTATTCTCTTAATATAAGGATTTTATTCTCGTAATGTTACGACTTTATTCTCGTAATGTTATGACTTTATTCTCGTAATATAACGATTTTATTCTCTTAATATAACGATTTTATTCTCGTAATGTTACGACTTTATTCTCGTAATATAACGATTTTATTCTCTTAATATAACAATTTTATTCTTGTAATGTTACGACTTTATTCTCGTATTACTTTATTCTCGTAATATAACGATTTTATTCTCTTATTATAACAATTTTATTCTCGTAATGTTACGACTTTATTCTTGTAATGTTATGACTTTATTCTCGTAATATAACGATTTTATTCTCTTAATATAACGATTTTATTCTCGTAATGTTACGACTTTATTCTCGTAATATAACGATTTTATTCTCTTAATATAACAATTTTATTCTCGTAATGTTACGACTTTATTCTCGTAATGTTATGACTTTATTCTCGTAATGTTATGACTTTATTCTCGTAATATAACGATTTTATTCTCTTAATATAACAATTTTATTCTCGTAATGTTACGACTTTATTCTCGTAATGTTATGACTTTATTCTCGTAATATAACGATTTTATTCTCTTAATATAACAATTTTATTCTCGTAATGTTACGACTCTATTCTCGTAATGTTATGACTTTATTCTCGTAATATAACGATTTTATTCTCTTAATATAACAATTTTATTCTCGTAATGTTACGACTTTATTCTCATAACGTTATGACTTTATTCTTGTAATATAACGATTTTATTCTCTTAATATAACGATTTTATTCTCGTAATGTTACGACTTTATTCTTGTAATATAACGATTTTATTCTCTTAATATAACGATTTTATTCTCGTAATGTTACGACTTTATTCTCGTAATGTTATGACTTTATTCTCGTAATATAACAACTTTTTTCTTGTCATATTACAACTTTGTTAAACTTTGTCATTACAATTTCATTCCCGTAATATAACAACTTCATTTCCGTAATGGTATGACTTTATTCTCGCAAGATAACGTTATTCTCGTAATAACACGACTTTATTCTCATATTAAGACTTTATTCTCGTAATATTACAACCTTTTTCTCTTAATTTCATGACTTTATTCCCAAAATAAAAAATAAAAAAATCTCTATCCTGACCCTAATACTCCATCATATGGAAACACATTTCAGTGGATTATTTTTTTACTTTTTTGGAATGTCTATAAGTTGGATGACTGAGAATCTTCATCACCTGCAAATCAGTGTGATGCTCTGAGCAGAAGGATATCTGACCTGGTGACCCTGAAGGTGTTTATTAGGCTCCTTCTCTCAGCTTCTCTAACTTAAACAGCTTTCCGCATGTTAACAGGGTTCTGGGGTTTTGGACTTCCTCCCTGCTCTGCTTCAGTGGGAACCCAACTTCATGGGAACCGTTTCATGCTTTTTATTGGATGGTAAAATGTTCCAGGGAAGTTCTGGAGCTCCTCTTACCCGGACAGATTCATGAGCTGGTTCTGGTTCTGGTCCTGCTGCTGAGGGGCTGCAGCCGCTGGGTTCCCCATCCTGCGGTTGCGAACCTGGCCGCCGAACTCTCCTGTGACTTCAACGTTGTATGCCAAGTTGTCTCCAAACGGGCCGTGGCGCGTAGAGATGGAGCTGAGGCGCACTGCGCCTTCCCCAGCAGCCGAACCGGGCCGCTGTCCCGGTCCCGGCCCGGGAGCGGGCTGCAGCACATACAGCCTCCTGAAGCCGCTCCGACTCTGCTGTCGCTCCGCCGAGTTACAGACAGGCGAGAGAAACAAGCCGAAGGAGAGCAGGAGGCCCCATCTGACCCAAACCATGTCCACTGCGATCCGGAACCGAAGAAAGTTCGGAGGAGTCCGTTTGTTCCGGCGCTTTCACTTTAGGCGAGAAGAGAAAACTTTGGATTCAGAAAAAAAACTCCGAGCAGCAGCGACCTCCCACCCAGGTCCTTCCTGACTGGAGAGAAAGTTTCAAATCAAGCAGGACACGAAGAGCCGGGGGCCGAGCAGAGCCGTCAGTCTCCCAGCGGTTCGGTTCGGTCCGGTCCGGTTCGGTGTGCAGACAGAGGAGCTGAGGGGAGGACTGCAGACGCGACGTCAGGAGGGGGAGTCTACAAGAACACTGTTTGGAGTTTCTCAGGGGCCCAGGAGCGTCAGGGGACCTGAACCCGAAGCCCACACCCACACAGACCAGACCCACCCCACCCCATCACAGCCCCCACCCACCCACACACACACCCAGCTACATGTAATGTGATCCTGACTTCCAGTAGATAAGCAGACACACCAGAACAGGGAAATTATTCATCGGATGGATGGATGGAAGGTTGGATGATGGATGGATGGATGAGCAGATGATGGATGGATGGATGGATGGATGGATGGATGGATGGATGGATGGATGGATGGATGGATGGATGGATGAGCAGATGATGGATGGATGGATGATGGATGGATGGATGGATGGACAGATGATGGATGGATGGATGGAAGGTTGGATGATGGATGGATGGATGAGCAGATGATGGATGGATGGATGGATGGATGAGCAGATGATGGATGGATGGATGGATGGATGGATGGATGGACAGATGATGGATGGATGGATGGACAGATGATGGATGGATGGATGGATGGATGAGCAGATGATGGATGGATGGATGGATGGATGGATGGATGGATGGATGAGCAGATGATGGATGGATGGACAGATGATGGATGGATGGATGGATGGATGGATGGATGGATGGATGGAAGGTTGGATGATGGATGGATGGATGAGCAGATGATGAATGGATGGATGATGGATGGATGGGCAGATGATGGATGGATGGATGGATGGGCAGATGATGGATGGATGGACGGACGGCTGGATGGAAGGTTGGATGATGGATGGATGGATGAGCAGATGATGGATGGATGGATTGATTGTTGGATGATGGATGGATGGATGATGGATGGACCAGCAGATGGATGGATGGATTGATTGTTGGATGATGGGTGGATGGATGGATGGGCAGATGATGAATGGATGGATGGATGGGCGGACAATGGAGGGATTGATGAACGGACGGATGGATGGAAGGTTGGATGATGGATGGATGGATGAGCAGATGATGAATGGATGGATGATGGATGGATGGGCAGATGATGGATGGATGGATGGATTGATTGTTGGATGATGGATGGATGATGGATGGACGGGCAGATGATGAATGGATGTGGACGGACGGATGGATGGATTGGTGGACAGATGCATGGAAGGACAGATGGATGGATGGATGAGCAGATGATGAATGGATGGATGGATGGGCGGACAATGGATGGATTGATGAACGGATGGATGGATGAATGATGGATGGATGGATGGATGGATGGATGGATGGATGGATGGATGGATGGATGGATGGATGGATTGATTGTTGGATGATGGGTGGATGGATGGATGGATGGATGGATGGATGGATGGATGGATGGATGGATGGATGGATTGATTGTTGGATGATGGGTGGATGGATGGATGGATGGATGGGCAGATGATGGATGGATGGATGATGGATGGATGGATAGATGGATGGATATGGATGGATGGATGGATGGATTGATTGTTGGATGATGGATGGATGGATGGATGGATGGATGGATGGATGGATGGATGGATGGATGGGCAGATGATGGATTGATGGATGGATGGGCGGAATGATGATCGATGGATAGATGGACAAATGAATGGATGGATGGATGGATGGATGGATGGACGGACGAAGGGAAGGTTGGATGATGGATAGATGGATGGACAGACGGATGGATGGCCAGATCATGGATGGACGGACGGGGGGAAGGATGGATGATGGATGGACGAACGGATGTGTTGTGCCATTCAGCTTAACAGAAGATAATGAATATATTAAATAACTAAAACTGGAAGTTAGTTAATTAAGAGGTCATTCAAATCAAGGATAAAGCTAGTTATTTATTATCAGTTGAATGATTATAACTGTAACTTCCTTACTGATCAGGGTTTTAGCCCCTTTGCTAAAAGGGTTAGACTCCTGAATCAGGCTGTTAAAAATCCAGTTGTCTTTCACCAATTTAGTAATCTAGGCCAGTGATTCTCAAATGGGGGTACGCGTACCCCTGGGGGTATGTGGAGATACTGCAGGGGGTACGTGAAGCTTTTCAAAATATATTTTAAAAATCAGTAGGCTCCTCATAATAAGTCTTGGGAGAAATTATTCTGTAAAAAGTTCGATAGAATATAAATGTGTGTTCATGCACTGCATTTTATATTCAGTATTTAGTTTCAATATCCTTTAAAATAAAACGGACCCCCCACCAAGTTAGTTTGACCCACGGACCCAGCGCACTTGTCAACGACCTGTCGTTAACATGGTTACGCTCTAACTATGGAGACGTGGCTAAAGCGTTGCAGCAACGCTGCTGAAAGTGCAGATGAAGTTAAAAAGAAGGCAAAACCAGAGCCAATGAAGTACAGAACGTACATGGAGAAGTATGCTTTAATGGGATTTACGTCCACGATCTCTGACCCCCCCCAGGCACTGTGTTTTTTTTGCGGTGAGAAATTAGCCAACGCTAGCATGAAGCCAGCGCACCTCCAGCGGCATCTCACAACAAAACATGGATGTCACGTTGGTAAGCCACCGGAGTTCTTCAGGAGGAAACTTTCTGAGTTCAAGTCATCCCAAGCCACAATGCGAAAAGCCTCCACTACATCAGCCAAAGCCCTGGAGGCTTCTTACGCGGTGTCTTTGCTTGTTGCTAAAGCCAAAAAACCGTTCACCATAGCGGAAGACCTACTGCTCCCCGCTGCTGTTGTATTGGCCGAAACTATGCTGGACAAAAAATCAGCGGATACATTAAAAACTGTGTCGGTTTGCCGCAGAATAGATCACATGGGCACAGACATTGTCGAACAAGTTGTGGAGAAACTTGGCGACTCATTTTCACTGCAGCTGGATGAATCCACAGATGTGAGTGGAAATGCGCAACTTGTTGCATTTGTAAGATACATTGACACAGACGACATCTGTGAACACATCCTATTCTGCAAAGAAATGGAGGGGCGAACAACCGGAGAGGACATTTTTAATGTCGTTAACATGTTTTTCACTGAAAACGCTATCAGCTGGAAATCCTGCAGCAGCGTCTGCACAGATGCGGCTGCATCAATGACGGGCAGCGCGAAAGGGCTCATAGCGCGGATTAAAAAAGAAAATCCCCTCATCAAGTGGACGCACTGTGTGGTACACAGGGAAGAGCTAGCGTCCAAGAAAATGAGCCCTGTGTTTCACGATGTTTTGAACGACAGCATTAAAGTTATAAACTTCATCAAGTCAAGGCCAATTAACGCACGTTTGTTCCGCAGCCTCTGTGAAAATACGGGAGCTGAACACACTGAACTGCTCCTGCATACTGAAGTGCGCTGGCTGTCTCGTGGAAAAGTACTGAACAGGCTATTTGAGTTGCGAGCTGAAGTGCACACCTTCCTGAAAAAGCACGGATCTCCCCATGCCACCTTGTTTGAGAACACGGACTGGCTTGCTAATCTTTGCTATCTGGCAGATATATTCAGGAAACTGAATGAACTGAATATGTCCTTGCAGGGCAAGGGCACCAGCATCCTGAACCTGTATGACAAGGTGGGTGGTTTCCTGAAGAAAGCAGAGATGTGGAAAAGGGCATGTGATTAGGAGGATTTCACCTGCTTTCCTCAGCTGGATGCTTTTCTCTGCAGTGAGGATGTGGCGACAGCTTCGGTGAAGTTAGTCATAGTGGGACGTTTGGCTAACTTGATCAGTGGTTTTCACTCCTACTTTGCTGACATGGATGAGAAATCTGCACAGCTGGATTGGGTGATTGTCTGAAGCACACAGAAGCAAGCTTCCTGTCAGTCATCAGGAAAAACTAATGGAAGTAGCATCTGACCGTTGCCTGCAGATGAAGTTTGGTGCATCCACGCTCACACAGTTTTGGGTGTGTGTGATGCAGGAGCACCCTAAGCTGGGACAGAAAGCTTTGGAGCAGCTGCTACCCTTTGCATCCACATATTTATGTGAGGCCACCTTCTCTGCAATGATGCTGATCAAAACAAAGAAAAGAAACAGACTGTGCCTGGAGAAGAGCTTGATCACTGCAGTTGCCTCCCTGCCAATAAGAATGACAAAGATCCTCAGTGAGGTGCAAGCCCATATTTCTCATTAAAATGTATTGAGTAATTTTTTTCCTGTTCATAAATCACTGCCTGTTACATACTGTTCAAATCAAATCAAATGTTCAATGCAAAGTGATTAAAGTGCAATCTTCTTTTTTTTATCCTAAAAGATGTAACCTTTATTTTTTTGTAAGCAAATCTTTATTTAAGTTAATTTATTTTGTAAACAAAATATAATTTATTTATAATTAAGTTATAGATTTATTTCTGTGAACACATTTTAGTTATTTATGTAAATATTCAATTTTGTACCATTACAGAGACCATTATAAATTAGCAGCGTTAGCAGCATATTTCAGTTTTGACTGGTTTTATGCCTTCCTGGTGGTCACCGTCTTCTGTTTTTCTTTTTTTTTCTACATGCAATGGTTGGAGTATGGATCAGTTGTTTGGCTTTAATAAATAAGACAGTGATTTTACAGCACTGTACCTCTTTTTTCTTCCAAAAGTGTTTTGCCTGTGTCAGGGGGTACTTGACTAAAAATATATTTTTAAGGGGGTACATCACTGAAAAAAGTTTGAGAACCACTGATCTAGGCTATGGCTTTTAGCAACGTTATTAATCACCAACCAAATAAATGTGTCTCTGTTCATTTGGATGCTACTGAAAGAAGAGTGAATCCAACCTGAGTGATAACTCGTTCACTGTGTAAACTGAACGCAAAAGGCCAGCAAGATTTTCCATCCAGTGGATGGCTGTTTTTCTCTCGAAAAAGTCTCTGCCATCGGACTGATTTTCTCCTTGCAAGAAGGAAAATGTGTTGTGACAGGTTGGGTGCAGGCAAACCTCTTCTGTTAGTCCCCTCCTGATTGGGCCTTGCAGACATAATCACATGGGAAGTAGTGTCAGGAAGCCTTTGACTGACACCACTTAAGGGTTGGTTATCCTCCCACAACAGTGTGTTGCAGTTAGCCTGTCGCAGGTAGGACGCAGATATTTTTGATTTGAAGCGTGGTTTGCGATATGTTATTCCACAACACAATGCAAGAGGGTCAATCAGGAATTAGCTGTGGGTCTGGAAACGGCCGACGTGGTGAGGAAGTGGGGGCAAGTTTATGCGACAGCGGAGGGACATGAGGGTAAAAAAGAACGGGGATCCAGGTGGGAAAAGGGTCCCAGCATTCAGCGCACCTTCCTCTTTTAGCATCTTCACAAGTCGTTTTCCACAATGGTGGTCATACAAACAAAACAAGCCGGTAAGGTACCAAACATGAAATACGCATAGTGTAGAGCAGATGTAGATTTGACCAGAGGCCTCCTGTCTGCGGTCACCTACATTTCGAAGAGGTGCAGCAGAGTGTCTTCAGAGGGGGCAGGGGCATATCTGCGTTAACTGCAACACACACGCAGATGACCTGTTCTCTGAGTATAAATCAGCCTTTAACCCACGTACCGAAAACATTGGAGAAGCCCCTGCCACTGTCCCACCTCAAGCCGTCGTCTTCACATATGTATGAAGTCAAAGGCTTCCTTACACTACTTCCCATGTGATTGGGTCTGTAAGGTTCAAACAGGAGGAGGCCTATAGAAGAGGTATGTCTCCGTTCAATCTCAAAACACATTTACCTCCGTGTGGAAGCTGCCTATGACCATGACCTAAATGACTGAGAATGTTCACAGAGTTTTATTGTTTATTTATTGTTTAGGTTAGTGGATTAACAAACCAAGTCTCTCCCTTGGAAATCCAAAGTGGTTAAACTTTTACTTAGCGACTCTCTGCACATCACTGTGCTTCAGTTTCCATACAAGTCTCTCTCAGACTTATCAGGGAGGCCACATGTACTCCCCTTCCCTCCCTTGAGACTTTGAGAGGCTTAGTGGCTTATTTTATTATATATGCATTTAAACCTAAGGACAGTTCAGCCAATAACCTTATCTCTCCTCTCCAGAGGTTCCCACACCTGTTGCTGATCAGTTCCCTGCTTTGCCTTCAGAGCTCAGTGAATAAATCCTTTAACAGCTGACCACTGTGTCTGGTTGAATTTTGGGTCCTAAGTCTGATACCATTCAGTAAAATCTAGCCAAAAATGTATCCATCACCATAATAATGGCTTGCTGTCATGTTTGGCTTAAGGTGCCTATCCCACATGTAGAACACTCAGAGGCAGGAGAAAAGTTCAAAGATTTATTGAAATGTTTAAGCACAATGAATGAACAGATCCAGAGGGGAATTTGTCTGGTCACGAGTGGGTTCTGAAAAGCACACAGAGTTATCAGATCCAGGACTGGTCACGAGTGAGGGGGAACCTTGAGGGTCCAGAGGCTGTCGGCAGGCTGAGGGCTAGGCGGAGGCAGAGCTTGGTTTGAGTGTTGGCAGATAACAGATTTGAGTTTTCCTTCCAGTTTCTTCTGAGAGTGGGCAGGCAGATCTTTAGACACGAATAATTCTCCAGGGTTCTTCAGAGAACGGACAGGCAGATTTCTGATAGAGATACTCTTCAGGGTTTCAGGTTTCAGGCAGGCTCAATCTAGGAAGCAAAGAGGTGAAAACAGATCAGGTCAGGTTCAGGCTTTCAGGGAGTCAGAGGTTCAGACAGGCAGGTTGGCCCAGGCTTGCTAACTGTTACTGGCAAACACTCTGGCACTGGAGAGAAGTCCTCTGCTTCCTTAAATACGGATCTCCTGATGAGCAGACGAGCGACAGGTGGTGCAATCAGCTCCGGCTCCAGGAGATCTCGTACGCCCTCTGGTGGAGAAAGTGGACAGACCTCCAGATCCCAACACTGGCCATTGTTAACAGTTCTACTGGTACATTTGGTACAGGGATGAATGCAGTGGTACCACCGGGGTTGGCCATGGCCACCCTGTGTAATGCCTTGGCCACTCCACTGGCTATTTCATCCCATAATGCACAGCCAGTGACGCAACATGAAAAATCTCACAATAAACCAAGATATGAGTAGGTGTTTATTTAAGTCTTTATTATTTCTACAGGCAGGTTTACCACAATAGTAGATGAAAATCCTGCAAGTATGGCTTTTAGTTTCAGTGTGCCACCCCAAGGTTTTAGTGGCCCCATCTAGCCCCCCCATGAAACATTTATGGAGGTGCCACTGGATGAATGAGATAATTTCAATGCTACATAAACTGTCTAACTTCAGCCAAGGCCAGGTTCCTCCACAGCACATCCCTCCTCCTGTTTTACCCGTGGCTGCCTCATCTAAACCCTCCTGAGGTTTTTAGAGGTGAACTCAATCAGTGTAGAACAGGGGTGGGCATTTCCGGTTCCCTAGGGCCAGAATCCTGCAACTTGATTCAGGTTTGTTGAACCAAAGGCCACACCTGAATCAAGTAATGAGATTATTGAGAGGACTCTGGAGGAAATGACTGCAAACTGAGGAGGTAACTAAGCCATTTTATTCTGGTGTGTTGGACCAAAGATGAATCTAAAAGTCAGCAACTGGAATTGCCCACCCCTGGTGTATGTTGGGATCTGGAGGTCTGTCCCCCTTCCTCCAGCAGAGGGCGCCCCTTGGTCTCCTGGAGCTGAGCTGAGGACCACACCTGAGATCCATTGGTCATCAGGAGATCAGCTTTATAAGCAGCGGCTGAGCTTCCCTTCATTGCCAGAGTGTTGTTTAAGTCACGGTAGCCTACCTGAGCCAACCAGTCTGTCTGACTCTCTGACTCCCCTGAAACCTAGAACCAGATCCTGATCAGTTTTTGTCCTCTCTGTTCTTCTAGGAAGATCCTGACTGAAACCTGGAGCTCTGGTGGAGCTCATGTTTGGGAAACCTGCCTGCCTGCTCTGAGAAGCCTAACCTGAAGAACCTCAGCCTGCATCTCCCTGCCAGTTCTCTGGAGAGAACTTGGAGACCCACTCAAGGTATGAACCACACAACTCTGAAGCCAGTTCCTGCCGCTGCTAAGCGCTCTGCAAATCCTCTGTCTCTGGACCCAACCGGTACTCTCCCTCTGACGCTCAGCGTGAAGCTCTGGACAGAGAATCCTGTGTTACCAGCCCCGAACCTGTTTCCAACACCTGTCTGAACCTCGTGTTTATCAATAAACAGTCTAACTTTCCTCCTGACTCTGTGTGTCTTCTGGATGTGGGTTAGGAACCTAAAACCCATCATGACAGTGTAGAACTTTCCTCACCCAATGCGAGATGCATTTTGCTGATCCTCCCCCCTTAATCTTTCCCTACAGAATGCTCAAAGGTTGCCTTTTTTAAGTATTTTCTCTCTGTCAAGGTTAAACAGTAGGGCACAGCCAATTGACAGAATAACTTCCCATCTGTTTCCAGTTATTCCAGCTTTGCCAAGTAGCTTGTCAGTTTTTGACCTGGTTCTCCCTGAAAGAGAGGCTGCCAGGGAGGTTACTCTCCCTCAAACAAGGTTCCAGGTCAGTGACAGCATACATAGTTGATTTTCATCTTCTGGCAACAGATAGTTCTTGGAATCAAGAAGCACTGATGGGTGAGTTCATGCAAGGTCTGAATGAGAATATTAAGGATGAGCTTGCTACTCATAATTAAC